CACAAATTCATGTACCATTGGGGTCCCTTAGGCTGGCCTGTGGGATTGGGCTGAAACAAGCTTTCTGACATCCCCTGAGGGGTCCTGGATTACAAGGGGACACAGGCCAGGCTGAGGGACCTCACTGGTGTACAATCAGGGATAGAGAGAAATGTGGGACATTGGCCAGCGGGGAGGGACTGCAAGAGGGCACCAGGGCATATCTGGCCCATCTCACCCAGTCCCGATCCTCCGACCCCAGCAGCAAGCTAACCTACCAATCAGAGCGTCTGCCTTCTGGTGGTTAGTGCACATCATAGGGAGCAGTTAAGCAGCCATAGCATATCATTAGCATATTACACTCTGATTGATTGAATGGCCTACCAGTCGACCAGCCACGTAGCATGTTAGGCTTTTATTATATAGAATATCATTATTTGCAAAAGCTCTAAGAGTCAGAGAGCTAACTTTTTATTCCTTGAAATAGTCATGAAAGAAAATAAAAGTCCATAGATAATAAAATATTTTCAAAAATATGTTATACAATGCACTAAAAGCCTTGCTTAATATCTTTAGTTTTGTCAGCATCCAGGTCTTAAGAACTGTTATTTCTAAAAGTAGTAACTTATTAAAAAAAAAATCTTTTGAAAGAAAAAGTTGTGTGTTTTTATGAGTTGAAAGAGAGAGTAGATTAATTAATTGACTAATTTATTCATCACTTCTTCACAATTAGCTATTTATATAATGTTTCATGTGCTGTGTTAATTAGCAGTCTGAGTTACAAGGATAAATAAGAGATGCCTCCAAGAAATCCATGGTTGGTGGGCTGAAAGATTTAGAAAGCAGATGATTGAGGCTCAAAGAAGATGGGGCTGTACCAGATGTTTTGATCAGGTCACTATCAGAGAAGAGAGAGAAAGTAGCTCATAACTGCTTATGGAAGCTGGAAGCTCGTCTTAGAGATGTGAGGATACTTGAGTTGGGTCTAAAAAGATGAAGAGGGAAGGGAAACAAACCTACCACATGCCTACTACCTAGCTAGCATTGTGCTAGATACTCTGACAATTCTAAGAGGAATAAGACCCAGTGGGGGATCAAGAAAGGCAGACAAGCCCATATAATTCAAGGCATGATAGTATGCAAAGCTCTATTAGAAAGGGATCTTATGAAGGCCTATTCAAAATCAGAAAGTAGAGCTCAACATGGTTTTTTGTTTTGTTTTTTAAGAATAAGGACGTTTATGATAAAAAATGAGAGTTCTGTTCCACCTGGGCTCTTGGAAAAGGATCTCCATGCATATAAACACATCCAAAGTGTTCAATTTGTTATTCTGGGGAAAGATTTTAGCTTATTTAACTAAATTCTTATTGATTAAAGAAAGATGTCTTAAAATTGAAATAGCTGGGTCCTCCAGTAGGTCCATTTTTAAGGCTTTGCTATTTTTTTTAAAATAAATCTTTATTGTTCACATTATTACAAATGTTCCTCTTCCTCTCCCCCCCTCCACTGCTCCCCTCCACCAGGTTCCCACCCCACCCTCTACCCTTTCCCCACCCCTCATTGTCCTCATCCATAGGTGCACAGTTTATGTTCAGTCTCTTCCCACATCCCCCTCTCCCCTTTTCCCCGAGAATCGTCAGCTCACTCCCCTTCCATACCTCTGATTCTATTATATTCAACAGTTAATATTGTTCATCAGATTTTTTTTTAATTTCCTTGGTTTTTAGATTCACTTGTTGATAGTTACATATTTGTTGTTCATACTTTTTATCTTTATTTACTTTCTCTTCCGAAAGAACCCCCTTCAGCAATTCATATAATTCTGGTTTGGTGGTGATGAACTCCTTGAGCTTTTTTTTATTAGTGAAGCTCTTTATCTGGCCTTCGATTCTGAGTGATAGCTTTGCTGGGTAGATTATCTTTGGCTGTAGGTTCTTACTATTCATCACCTTGAATATTTCTTGCCATTCCCGTCTGGCCTGCATGGTTTCTGTTGAGAAATCAGCTGACAATCGTATAGATCACATGTGTCAAACACAAGGCCCGCGGGCCAAATCCGTCCCGCCAGGCCTTGCAATGTGGCCCGCACAGCGCTGTCATCACTGCACTCCGCTGCGTTTCCATCACAATGACAGTTTATGACTGTTCAGTAAACCATTCGGCCCGCGATTTAGGTTGGATTTTAGATTTTGGCCCCTTCTCTGATTGAGTTCGACACCCCTAGTATAGATGCTCCTTTATAGGTAACTACCTGCTTTGCTCTTGCTGCTTTTAATATTCTCTCTTTGTCTTTTGCTCTTGGAATTTTAATTATGATTTGTCTTGGTGTGGTCTTCTTTGGATTCCTTTTGTTTGGAGTTCTGTGCGCTTCCTGGACTTGTAAGTCTAAGTCCTTCACCAGGTGGGGGAAGTTTTCTGTCACTATTTCTTTCAGTATGTTTTTGATATCTTGCTCTCTCTCATCTTCTGGGACCCCCATAATTCTGATGTTGGTTCACTTGAAGTTGTCCCAGAGGTTTCTTACATTATCTTCAACTTTCTGGATTCTCTTGTCTTCTTGCTTCTGCGGAGAAGTGTCTTCTGGCTCTTTATGTTCCAAATCTTTGACTTGATTCTTGCGATCTTCCATTCTGTTTTTAGGACTCTGTATAGTATTTTTTATTTCAGACAATGTATTCTTTATTTCTTGTTGATTCCTTATTATTTCTAGTTGATCCCTTTTCATATCCTCATAGGACTTATCCATCTTTTCTAGGAAATTCTTGAAAAACCTTATAAGCATGGTTTTGAACTCTATATCCAGTCGTTTTTTGTCCTCCATTTCTTTTGTTTGTGATCTATTTCCTTGTCTCGGCATTTTCGCAGCTTCCCTGAGTTGGTAGCCTTAAAAGTCTCTGTGTTCTGCTTGGATGGGGCTGAATTTCAGGGTGGAGCCTACAGCCTTGGGTCAGCCACATCAGCCATGCCCTATGCAGCTCCTGAGTCTCAGTGTTTCTCAGGGTCCTTCGGTACTCACTGCAAGCACCTCTGAGAGTGAGGTGTCCTCGAGTTTCACCTGCTACCAAACAGTCTAATCTCCCCCCCAATGAGCCCGGAACTGGGGTTCAGTTCAGTTGGAAGTGGGGTTCAGAGCAGTCTGGAGCTTTTGCCTCCTTCCCGCCAGGGCAATCCCGTGGCACAGCCAACCGTCGTCCCTTCTCTGCGTGCAATGTGCATGCCTCCAGGGGCTCTGCCTTTCATCGCTCTCCCGGGTTTCTGCCTTACAGTCCAGTCTCCCTCTGTATGAGCCTGGGTCCCTGGGGTCTGGCCTAGAACTGGGGTTCAGTGCTGTTGGGTCTGGGGTTCAGCACAATCGGAGCTTTAATCTCCTTCCCGCTAGGGAACGCCAGCCAGGCACTCAGCCTCCCCTCCTCTCCCTGCGCACAGTGTGTCTCCGTACCTTGGGCTTTTACAGCTCCTCTGATTTTCCTTCTGGCTTTCTCTTTCCTTCTTGTTGTAGAATTTCCAGTCAGCCAACTTTCCTGTAACTCTGGGCAATGTCCATTTTATATTTTAGTTGTATTTTATTGAAATTGTTGTGTGCGGCTGCGGTTAGGTGTTTACCTGTGCAGCCATCTTGGATCCTCTTTCTTTAATTTCCAGGCTTTGCTTTTTTTTTTTTTCCCAATTGCTCTCCAGAGGACTGTACCCCTCCCCAAAACCCCATGTTGGAATCCCATTCCCCTCACCCCTCTCCCAGTACTTGGTGTTCTCATTTTGAAATCTGTGGCCATTTGTCAAGCAAGTGGCAGTTTCTTACTGTGGTTTTAATTTTATTTTCTCAAAAACAGTGCTAGCCTTTTCTTATATTAATTGGGAACCTGTGTTTTTTCTTTAGTGAGTTGTGTGTATCCTTGACCTGTTTTTCTGTTGAGGTTTTTCTTTTTCTTGTTAAATATAAGAATTTTTCTATTCTGAGTATCTTAAACATTTACTTTATATTGCAAATGTGTTTTAAAAATATTTTTATTTATTTCATAGAGGAAGGGGAAGATATTTCTATTGATTTCATAGAAACATCAATGATGAGAGAGAATCATTGATTGGCTTCCTCCTGCACGCCCCCTACTGGGGATCGAGCCTGCAACCCAGGCATGTGCCCTGACCAGGAATCGAACCATGACTTTGTGGTTCATAGATAGATATTCAACCATTGAGCCACGCTGGCTGGGTTGCAAATGTGTTTTTTTAAGTTTACAAATGACCTTTTAATTTTATCTCTAGTGGCTTTGCTAATAGAAATGCTAATCTTTATTTAGACTAGTACATTGATTTTTTTCTTTATGAATTCTGAATTTACATACATTTATCACTTCCAAGATTAAAAAAAGCATTTATATATTTTATAGTATTTAAAGGTTTCCAATTTTTATATTTGAATATGCCATTTATTATTATTATTATTTTTTTTTGTGTGTGTGTGTGTGTGGGGGGGGTATTGTGTTTTATCAGGGGGAAAACCTGAATTTTTAAAAACTATTTAACTACTTATCCAAATATTATTTAAAAAGTAATCCATTTTTCCCTATAGCCCTGAAGAGGTACCTTTCTGATATATTCAAGTCTCATACAGATTTAGGCCTCTTCCTAGGTGCTTCATTTTGTTCCTTTAAGCTATCAAATTATTTTAATTATGGGAAAATTTTTATGGTCTTATTCCCTGATATTTTTTTATGTAAGATTTATATATTTTTTCACCACTCACATTAACACTTTATCATTACTATATCACATTTCACCGGTTTATTCCACTGATATTTTTATTGACATTTGCCTTAAATTTTTAAAATTACTTTGGGAAGCATCAACTTCTTTTCAATATTATGTTGCTTTATTTAATATGTGATTCCTTCCATGTACCCAAGTTTTTCAGTAAAGTTTTAGTTCCTCTTTGGCTGGATCTACATGTTTACTGTTGAGTTTATCCCCAAGTGTTTCAGAGAAATCACATTTCTCACAGCTGTTTGCTCTCCCCCCACCAGGTTCTGACCACATTCGTGAGAAAGATGGACTCTGGGCTGTCCTTGCCTGGCTCTCCATTCTAGCCACCCGCAAACAGAGTGTGGAGGACATTCTCAAAGATCACTGGCAGAAGTATGGCCGGAATTTCTTCACCAGGTAAAGCACCGCCTGGCTGAGGCAGGGTGGGGAAGTAGGCAGAGAGAATTCTCATGCATACAAATTCTTTCCTGCCTTAACCGATAATAAAACTCTAGTTCATCCAGCCTCTACCAGTTGGGGGTTTTAAAAATAATTCAGTCAGGTCAAGATGAAGTCAGCCTTTATGTTCCATAAAGAACGAGGCTTACAAAATTTAGTTAACATTATTCAAAAGAATAAATGTTTTTAAAGCCTTTTAAATGTACCTCTCAAGTGGACATGATAACAGCGATGTATTTAGATTCAGAAAAATGGATTCAAATTTTATTTCTGCCCCTTAATAGATTGGAAAGTCATTTAACCTCTCTCTGTACTCAGTTTTCTCATTCCTAGGAATGGAAATAACAGTCCAGCTATTGAGTGAATTAAGTGAAATATGAATCTGAAAGTGTTTTATAAACTCTGGGGCACTAAAAGAACGGAAACTTTTTTCTGAAATTATGAAAATGATTATGCTTAGTCCAAACTAACTTTTCTGACTCATTAAAATAGGTCCCCAAAGGCTGTGTATTTGTCAATATTTCATTCATTGATTTAACAAATATTGATTGTGCACATACTTTCTACCAGGCCACTAGGGATTCAGCAGTGAACAAAATATTTAAAATACGTAGCAATTCTTCTGTAATGAGCATGCTTCTATTTTTTAAAACATTCACTTATTATTATTTTTACCAATAGTGCTTTTCATTAATTTCAATTTGCCTTTCCCCAGTATGTGTGAAGATTTAACAAAATTTCTCCTGGACCTCTAAGGAAAGGAAATATGAGGGGGAAAAAAGATATTAGGTAAATTATTTATCTGTGAAAAACAGTTGTAATTTCTCTGGACCTGTTTGCCTTTTCTATAAAATAGGCGAGTTAATGCCAAAACCGGTTTGGCTCAGCGGTAGAGCTTCAGTCTGTGGACTGAAAGGTCCCAGGTTCGATTCCAGTCAAGGGCATGTACATTGGTTGCGGGCACATCCCAGGTGGGGGATGTGCAGGAGGCAGCTGGTCGATGTTTCTCTTTCATCAGCGTTTCTAGCTCTCTATCTCTCTCCCTTCCTCTCTATAAAAAATCAATAAAGTATATTAAAAATTAATTAATTAATTAATTAAATAAAATAAAATGGGCGAGTTAAACTAGAGAATTGAAAAAATATATCACAGATATGAGAGTCTGTGATCTCTGAATAGTAAAAAAAGAATTCAACCTTTAGCAACTTGGCCTCCTTCATCAGAATTCTTTCATCAACTTTGGACAAGTTCAATGTTCTCTTCCTCCTCCAAGTTACTCTTTGTGTGCGGTATAAGTAATGACTGCCACACGGTAGCCCGGGAACCAAGGCAAGGCTTTCCATTCTCTAAGGACCAGGAATCCCGGTAATTCACAACAGTCATCATGAACTCTCTAGACACGAAAGCAGGCCCACATCTGTTGTCATGCTCCATGGTATCATCAAACACCTAGCTCATAGTTTACACTGTAAATATGCTTTGAATAGACAAAAAAATGAGTTAAGCAAACAGTCGCCAAGGTGGAATAATGTTAGGAAGGCTTGCTTAGAGAAAGGATCCCTCTTGACTGAGTTGAAGTCTCCATCTAAAAACTATTCTAACATATTTTTATTTATGTCAAATAACTGCTAACCAAGTATTGATACTTTTCCACTGATTTTTAGGAAGAGTGGAAGATAGAGGGAAAGACAGAAAGAACTATCAATATGAGAGAAACACCTCAATTGGTTACCTCCTGTAGGAGCCCTGACCAGGGCCTGGGCAGTGAGGAGCCTGTAAACAAGATACATACCCTTGATGGGAATCAAACCCTGGACCCTTTGGTCCTCAGGCTGAGGCTCTATCCACTGAGCCAAACTAGCTAGGGCCATTGTAGTCCACTTTTGTAGGACAAAAGTCCTAGGCACGTTTGCACACATTGCTTCATGTCAGCCACAGAACAGTTATTAATAAGGCAGCTGAGATTCTGAGAGATGAAGCAACTTGCCCATAGCCCCACAGCTAGTATCCAACAGAGGCTGGATTCATAGTTTGTTCTGTCTGACTCCGAAGCCCACATTCTTTCCATTATACCACTCTGTGCCTAGGATTTATAGAACATTTCCCCTGAACACCCAAAGGTCACAGATGTAAAGCACAAACACCTGGTTGTAATTTCTGGCTGTTTATCATTTTAACTGGGGGAAAGAGCTGACTCCAAGATGAAGGCGACTGCTGTCCTTGATTCATAGAATCCTGGAGCCAGAATAGGTTGTCCTCCATTCCCTGGTATTTCTCATGTCTCAGAGGTGTCACCTTGCGCATATCCTATTTGTTTCACTATTGCAAATAAATATAGACTCTGCTATCTTGAGCCTCTACAAAATAACTCTCTCAAGAGGGTGTGTGCCACTAGATCAAGAAAAGCATTCTCCTGAGAAAGAAGTCAGAATAGTTCTTGGAGGAAAAATAGTCATAGAATTTCATTCCTGATGCACTTTTTTTTCCCCCTTGGCTCTTTTTAAAAAATTTTAATTTAATTTTTAAAATGTATTTTTTAATCCTCACCTAAGGACATGTCTACTGAGAGAGAGAGAGAGAGAGAGAGAGAGAGAGAGAGAGAGAGAGAAACATCAATTGGCTGCCTTCCCATATGAGCCCAGACTGGGAAAGGAACCCACAGCCTTGGTATGTGCCCTGACCGGGAATCGAACCCTCAACCTTTCAGTGCATGGGGCAACTTTCCAATCAGCTGAATTACCCAGCCAGGACTTTCTTGGTCCTTTCGCATCCATGCCAGGTCACCTCTGTCAGGGTGAACCCAAAGCAGTTTGGGTTAAAATCCCCTCTCACTGAAAGGACGGAGGTGTTTCAGATGTAAACCGTTGGGGTTTGGTTCCTTCATCTGGTCAGTGAAAACTTGGCCCTGCTGTGGGAAGCTCCTGTGGAGACTGGAACTCTCCTTCGCCAAAACCTCAGCAGCCTCGGGCCGGTCCCAGCCTGGGAGCAGTGCCAGCTCTGATCCCACAGAAGCTCTGAGTGTCTGGAAGAGAAGCTGCCTGAGTCACGTGCTCCTTTGTGCAGAGTTCCCCAGAGATAACAGGCCTTTTAATTCTACCTCCTCAGGATGTGATGGTTAAACGTTAGATAGTATCTCTCAGAAGCCTTTGAAGCTCCTTCGAGCTTTCTTCTGTGGAAAAGCTCCTAACCCTTCCCTGAAATCCTCCGATCCCCTTCCTTTCATCCCTGGCCTGCTCCGTCCCTGGGGACTGACAGGCTCATCTTTTTGCCAGCTTCTTCTGAAGTTGGGTGGTTTGGGAGAGGGCCAAACAGATGATGAAGAAAGTGCCGCTATACGTTGGTGGGATCTGGCGGCAGGCAGCCCGCGGGTCTCAACTTCGTGACTTCTTCCAGGTACGATTACGAGGAGGTGGAGGCCGAGGGCGCCAACAAAATGATGAAAGACCTGGAGGCCCTGATATCTGATCGCTCCTTTGTGGGGAAGCAGTTCCCAGTGGGTGACAAAGTTTACACCGTGGAGAAGGTCGACAACTTTGAATACAGTGATCCAGTGGACGGAAGCATTTCGAGAAATCAGGTAGGAGCAGACTTGTGTGGGTGTGGGAGAGAAGCCTTAGAACACCGTCTCTGAAATCTCAGGGGAAACAGAGACAAAGGCCCTGAGGTCATTTCTCTCCTGCTGCCCCGTTTTCCCAGGGTAGCTCTTCTCAACTGGTCTTTGGCCGCATCACACACGACGTGCACATGTTCTCGTAGGGGACGTGGTTTCGCCCAGGTTGTTTGCACTCCCCGAGGCCCTCATCCTGCGGTGCTTAGCCTGTACTCCAGGGCAGGGGGTTGTACCTCTAGAATCACATGCAGGATGTTGTGTTGAGTGAGTGTGCAGAGAGGAGCTCCAGGATCCAAAAAAAAAGAAAAAGAACTGCAGCCTTAGGAATCAACCCTCCTCGTTTCCTTCAAGGGATTGTAGCAGAGAGCCTGCGTGTGAGTCATTATTATAGACTGATACATTCCAGTTTCTAAGAGAGAAAGAGGTAAGCCATTCACAGAAACATTCACTCTTGTTCTCGGCAGCACGTGACTCACAGCCAAGCCTAACATCACACCTGTGACCTGGTCTGTGTCTGGATGGAGACAGTGCTGTTAGGGTTTCCCGCTTTGGGTGCCAGGGACCAAGGCTGCAGGCTGGCTGGGTCAGCCCTTCTCCAGGCTTCTCACAAACACCCGGGGCCCACAGGCCTCTCTCTTCTGGTTCCTCTGCCAACACAGAATGAACGCATCTCTCATCAGTTAAAAACAGATAAGAAAGTGCCTGGGGTCCCCCTTTCTCACAATGCTACCCCAGCAGCTTTTCTGCCATATGCCTTTTCACCATGTGTGAGAACTCTGGGTCTAGCACAGGCGATTGTAAATTACGTCTGAGATATAATTAGAAAAAGAGAGGCCTGGAGCGGAGGAAGGGGGTGGTTACAAAGGGGAGGGTGGGGCCCAGGGATGGAAGGGTAGAAGAGAGCAGACATTTTTCTAGCAGAGCCTTGAGAGAGAGAAACAACCCCCAACCCTGCACGGCATCCAGCAGCAGCTGTTAGGAGGGAGGAGGGAGGCGGATGCGGGCAGGAGGGGTGTCACCATGAACCCTGGCCCTGCTCTCTGCTGTGAGGAGGAAGTCAGCAGCTCCACATTCTTTTTTTCTTTTCTTTTTTTTAATTTATTGATTTTTTTACAGAGAGGAAGGGAAAGGGATAAAGAGTTAGAAATATTGATGAGAGAGAAACATCGATCATCTGCCTCCTGCACACCCCCTCCACTGGGGACATGCATGCAACCAAGGCACATGCCTTTGACCGGAATCAAATCTGGGACCCTTCAGTCTGCAGGCTGACGCTCTATCCCGTGAGCCAAACCGGTTTCAGCTCCACGTTCTTTAAGAAAATCTGAGTAGTTAGATGGAAGACCAGGTAGAAGGGAAAATCTGAAGTAGATGTAGCATCTGCAACCAAGTGCAAAGAATTTAGGAACTTCACGTTGAAGCTGTGGAAGAAGGAGACCGATCCGGTGTGCTTCTAGGAAGCGAGCCCTGGTGAATGGGAGTGAACTGCGTCTCGCCACGATGACCAGCCTGGGTCTGTCCTCTGTGTATCTCATCTGCTGTCTCCACTGCTGAATGGCAAACACTGGGTGGGGTTTGGTGACGGCTAGCCGGTGTGGAGTGGTGTCTTGCCTTCTGGCCAGACTTTGGCTTTATACAAACCTCTTCTGTTTATGGAAGAATTCATAACGACTGAAGCATCTTCAGATAACTGTCTTGCCCCGTCTTCTTACCTCAGGCTGTGCCATATCTACTTAGGAGTCCCCACCCCTTTCCTCCCAAGCAAGAAGGATTGAGCCTGCAAAGGGTGAGAGATGTGTCAGGGAGGAAAAGGCTAGGGCAGCAGAGAGAGGGGGCTAGGCTTGGCATCGTACCCACATGGACCGCTTTTAGTCCTCAGGCATCGGTGGGAGACTGGCAGCTGGATCCTGCTTGATGGGCGGGGTTAGCCTGTCTCTGCCATGGGGGGCCCGTGGCCTCCTGTTCTCTTTTGGAGGCTCCCCATCAGTGTTTTGCAAAGAGTTCTTCCTCTGGTCTGCCTGAAGCATCTGCTCAGGTTTCAGTCCATTCCGTCCGTGTTTCCTCCCTGGTCCAGGGGTTGAATTTCTGCATTTGGTGGCTTATTTATTTGCTTTATTAAACTTCAAGCTGGAATGGTTAGTCCATAAGTCACAGTGGAGAAGGGAGGGCAGGATGGGCCTGGAGTCACCCAGCCTCCCTGGCATCAGGTCTCCTGCTCGACCTTGCAAATGCTTCCCCCCCATGAGCTCAGCCCCCATTGCTTGGATGCAATGACAGGTTGACTGAGGGCTCAGCTGCTGCCATCTATCAAGGATCTAATCCTCTGATTGATCAATACCAATGAGATTAGACCTCCAAAAGCACGCCTTGTAACTTGCTAGCCTTCAGCCTCCCTTTCCAGCGTATGGGGTGGAAAACCGGTGCTTCTCTTTTCCAGGGCTTGCGGCTCATTTTTACAGATGGTTCTCGCGTCATCTTTCGACTGAGCGGCACCGGGAGCGCAGGGGCCACCATTCGACTGTATATCGACAGCTATGAGAAGGACATCGCCAAGATCCACCAGGACCCCCAGGTACTGCCCGGGACCTGGACCCTGACTAGTTCCCTCCGTTGGGAGGAATGATAGTGGCTCCATTGTCAAATAGGTGCTCTCACTTTCCTGCATGTCTCCTTCAGTTTGTCATCACAACAGTGACAGCTGATAATTATCTGAGCATTTGCTATTTGCCAAGCTCTGTTCTAAACCCATTACATGGGCATACTCATTTCATTCTCAAATGAGTTAGACTCTGCTGATATCCCTCCTGCAGATAAGGAAACGGAGGCCCAGGAAGGGTAAGCAACAATTAATAGGTCTACACGCCTGGAAAGTGGCTGATCTGGGACAGCTCATCTTTGAACTGGCCCCTCAGCTGGTCATTTGCCGCTTTTCCTGGTCCCATTACCTGCCCTGTAGTACATACACTGGTTCTAGATTGGGTGGTGAACGAGAGAGTTTCATGACCCTGCAAGAAATGTCTTTTTTTAAAAATATATTTTATTGATTTTTTACAGAGACGAAGGGAGAGAGATAGAGAGCTAGAAACGTCGATGAGAGAGAAACACCGACCAGCCGCCTCCTGCACACCCCCAACCGGGGATGTGCCTGCAACCAATGTACATGCCCTTGACCTTTCAGTCCGCAGACCGACGCTCTACCACTGAGCCAAACCAGTTTCAGCAAGAAATGTCTTTATGAAAAAGTCTGTGGCCTTACAGCCTGGTTGCTTTGGTTCCCAGTCCCACCCAAGGAGTCTCCAGAGCCCGGCCAGCGTGGCTTAGTGGTTGAGCCACCGTTGACCTATGAACCAGGTGGTCAGAGTTCAATTTTCGGTCAGGGAACATGCCTGTTCCCAGTAGGGGGCATCTGGAGGTAGCTGATCAATGAGTCTCATCATTGATGTTTCCTTCTCTCTTTCTCTCTCCCTTTCTCTCTGAAATAAATAAAAATGTATTTAAAAAAACAACAACAAACAAACAAAAAAACAAGGAGTCTCCAGAAGTATGTCAGAGTGTCATGGGATCCTGGGAGCCAGGAATGGGACAGAGACCTTGGAGGGCAGATGCCGGTGGGGGGCCTAGGGGAACTGTGACACAGGGCACAGTGTTCCCAGGTGCATTCCTTGTCTTGGTGGATGCTCCCCAACCAGAGCTCCAGAGCTGAAAATGTTTAGGACTTGCTGCACGTTAGCGCCTTCTTGGCAATTCACAACACATCGCATTGAAAGGCTCCAAGAAGAGACACCTGTTTAAATAGCATTCACCGTGCTTATTTTTCCACAAAGCTTATTTTTCTTCTAACACCTAATTAAAATTCTGTGAAACTCGCTTGAAAATCCCTGGCACCGTGGTCTTGAGCATACGCTTCGGAGTTAGAGAGATCGTGCTTTTCCTTCAGGGTCTGCCCCCCTAGCTGCCTGTCCCTGGTTAAGTCGTGTCAGTGTTCTGAGCCTTGGTTTCCTTGTCCGGGAAATGCCAGAATACTGCCTACTTCATAGAGTTCTTATAGGGATTTAACGATACAATGGATGCAAAATTCTAAACACTGAGCCTGGCACATAGGGTTAGCTTTTGAGTGGCCCCTATCGTTTTTATTACAAAATGAGATGGTGGGAGGAGACTTCTGTCTACGGTTTTCCCAGGCTCCGACTCAGTCATTACCAGATCTCTGTTGTGTTTGTAGGCATCCCTAAACCTTAACCAAGAGGCATTGCTGTCTGCATTGTAGACCCACAGAATAATAAAGAGAAAAAGAGGAAGGAATTGTGTTTCTTTGTCCTAATGGCTGACAGAGAATGAGTGCAAGATAGATTTCTGCTGGACCATAGCCCCAAGGAGATGGGGGCACTGAAGGTGCAGGGCGCCCACAGTACCCGGTGTACCGCCATTCTGGGGAGATGCCTCCCCTCACTCTGGGGCTGCTGGGCCTCAGCCCCAGTCCTCTGTGGGAACCATGGGAGCCCAAGGGGAAGTGGCAAGTGGTGTGGTCAGCATGTAGAGTAGCTTCTCTAGTTCTCACCGAGGTAGAATGAGCTAGTGGATTCAATGAGGAAGAGCACCAGTGGGCAGTGGAAAATTTCTTCTCTTGGCTCTGCCCTGGAGTTACCTGGTCAGATCACCCCTTTGGATATCTGTTTCCTCATTCGTAAAATGGGCTGTTCAACTAGATAAGTAGTTTTTATTTTTTAAAATATATTTTATTGATTTTTACAGAGAGGAAGGGAGAGAGATAGAGAGTTAGAAACATCAATGAGAGAGAAGCATCTATCAGCTGCCTCATACACCCCTCCAACCCCCCCATTGGGGATGTGCCCGCAACCAAGGTACATGCCTTTGACCAGAATCGAACCTGGGATTCTTCAGTCCTCAGGCCGATGTTCTATCCACTGAGCCAAACCAGTGAGGGCCTAGTTTTTAGTTTTTATATTAAATATTTATTAAGCAACAGGAGAATTTTTTCAAGTGAAAGGGGGATGGGAGAAGGTGTAGTTGCATTTTGAAAAGACCTCTTTGGGTTCAGTGTGGGAAACAAATTGGAGGATGCAGAAGTGGATTTGGAAGCACCATTGTCTCAAGTAAGAGAGAGAACATTGATTTAGCAAGAGTTTTGGCACTGATGCTGTGGAGAGATGTTGAGTAGGAAGAAACCCCACAAACTTACACTTACTGATAGATTGGAAAAAGGTTTGCAGGAGAAGAAAGGTCAAGAATGACTTCGTTGTCCCTTTGCTTTCTGTGATAGACAGTAGTGCCGACTCACTGCAGCAAAGAATGCTGGTGGGGGGAGAACGGGTCTGTTTTTAGATTGTAGAGTTCCAGGAGCCTTTGGGACATAGGCAGTCTGGCAGGTGGGCCGGGAGCTCAAAGGCACAGTGAGGGCTGGAGCTAGGGGTCTGTGTCTAGGGAAAGTGATGGAAAAGCCTCTTCCCTGTGTGTCTCCCTCAGGTCATGCTGGGCCCCCTGGTGTCCATTGCTCTGAAGGTCTCCCAGCTCCAGGAAAGGACGGGGCGCACCGCACCTACCGTCATCACCTAAGAAGACAGGCCGGATGCAGTACGTCTCTCCATCCCCGGCCCTCCGAGGCATCTGATTGGAGAGCACGGACAGAAATAACGCGTGTTCACCCAGGCTTTTTAGGATTTGGTTTTTCCACTAACCAGTTTCTGATGGATGGTACGTTTGCAGAGCACTGCCAATCGAAGTGCCTACAGGAGCCATGTGGGAAAGGGGCAGAAAGGACCCAGGGGCTTATGTAATGTCAGTCCTTTTTTCTTTTTCCTTTTGATATTTTTATTGATTTCAGAGAGGAAGGGAGAGGGAGAGAGAGATAGAAACATCAGTGATGAGAGAGAATCATTGATGGGCTACCTTCTGCACACCCCACACTGGGGATTGAGCCTGCAACCCAGGCATGTGCCCTTGGCCGGAATCGAACCTGGGGCCCTTCAGTCTGAAGACCTACGCTCTACCCTCTGAGCCAAATCGGCTAGGGCAATGTCAGTCCTTTGCATGCCTCTTCCCACTGCTGCTACGTGGGTTTTTGCCTCCTTAGCACCAACTTCTGTTTACACTGCAATGTGAGGTGGAGGTTGAGCATTAGCTAATGAGGCCACTTTTCATCCTTAGGATGTGCCAGTGAAATGACAGTGCAACTTTCTCCTCCTTGGTGAACCTTTCCCCCATTTATTGTTTACATGGAGCCCAGCAAAACGTAATTTCTGGTGCCTTCTCTCCAATCAGTTCTTCCCTCAGAGAGAGACGTACTTGTTGACAGGTTTCTGCCTTGTTTTGCAACATAGTTCTATTCACGCAAATATTTTGGGATATTAAAGCAAACTAAGCTGCTATTTCTTGATGTCTCTTATTTCTTAGTTATAAAAATTCTTGTTTTGTTTCAGAAAGAAAACAGACTTGTTTTTGAGAGGGAAGAGGGTATTTTATTTTGTTTAGATGTCCTAATTAGAAAAAAAAAAAAGTTATCTGTGCTAGGTTTAAAATCCTTACACTCAAAACTGATCTTAGCAGGGTGGATGTAGGCTGGATCCTTCCGAGGTGAATAAAGCAAGGTTGGCGTGGTTTACTTGGAATGAGCGAGAGGAAGGTGATTCTCAGGAGGTCTTAAATAGCAGAGTGCTGCCATGTGCCTGGTGGTGCTGAGATGTCAGGATACCTGTTGAGGGGATGGAAGCAGAATGCTCAGAATCCAAGAGCAAGATTACTGGCATTTGCCTGGATGTCTTAAACCATTTGGCATCTTATTCACCTTAGAACATTCAACCCACAGGTGTATGATAGTGGTTACAAGCATAGACTTGAGAGCCAACAGACCTGTGTTGGAATCCCATTTAGGACCTTGAGTCACCTTTGACTGTCTTTCTCCTCCTCTTTAAAACGGGGATGAAAATAGCTCCAACTCTATGGCGTCATTGAGACCCTTAAGTGAGTGGACCTGTGAGAAGCAGTGGGCACAGTATCTGATTCATGGTCGGTTGTTAAATAAGTGGGAACTGGGACTATGCTTATTACACTATTGTTTCTAGATTTTTTAAAAAAATATATTTTATTGACTTTTCACAGAGAGGAAGGGAGAGAGATAGAGAGCTAGAAACGCCAATGAGAGAGAAACATCAACCAGCTGCCTCTTGCACACCCCCTACTGGGGATGTTCCCCCAACCAACGTACATGCCCCTGACCGGAATCGAACCTGGCACCTTCCAGTCCGCAGACCTACGCTCTACCACTGAGCCAAACCGGTTTCGGCTGTTTCTAGATTTTTAAGCACTAGAAAAACAAAAACTACAACCCTAACATTTTTAATGAGTTTTATGGTTTCCAGATGGGCTATTCCAGAAACACAGTTCAGCTCTGTACCCCTCTGCCACCCAGAGTGGGATCCCGGTTCCGGGTGGCAGGGTGTCTGTCTGGGGTGAGATGCCCAGTGTTGCCATTTAACGTGGGTTCAGCCCAGCAAACCCAGCTGAGCTTTGGCAATGATGAGATGAAGATGAGTACTTACGGAACAGTAAATGTCAGGCTTTGTTCCAAGTATCTGGCTTTCCATATTCTCGTTAAGTGCTTCCCATACCTCAGTGAGGTAGGTACTCCGGATAGTTCCGTTTGACAGATGAAGTCGGTTTCTTGCCCAAGGTCACACCACTGGAGAGGGGCGGCGTGCCCCCAGGCGGTGAAGCTCAGCCCCACATGGTATTACCTCTTCCACGTACTGGCTGCTTCCACGGGTGGAAGAAAGGTGTGCAAACACCCCTGTGTCTTAATTACTAAGGGGTGATAACTGCGTGCCTTGGGTGTCAGAGACTCTGTTGGTTTTAGCATTATTGTCTCTACCCTCCCCCAGATCTCAGTATCTGGCTGTATCAGTCAGCCAGGAAACAAGTACCGACCCACATTAAGTGTGCGATGCCATGGGAACAAGAGAATGTATAACGCGGTGACTGCCCTCCAGCCGCCTGTAAGACTGGCCAGGCGAATGAAGTCCACGGCCAATAGACTGTGTCGGATGAGTGCCTTATGAGTTGTGTGAGCCACACCTGCAGTTAAAATCCAAATTTCCCAGACACCTATTCTGGTTCAGGTGTTGGCTTAGACGCTTTCGAGTAACGCTCGAAGCGAGGCGTTATTATTCTCTCTTTGGAGTCCAGGCCACTGAAGCGCAACAGAATTAGATAATTTGCTCCAGGTTCCCAGCTACCATGTGGTGGAAGTGGAATTTTGACCTGAATCTCACTCTCTTTCCATGACCCTTCCCTGCCTCCCCATCTGTTGAATCAGCTGCAGACACTCCCAGGTCTGTGGCCCCTGGAATGGCTTCACAGATTTCCTCCTTGTCCCTGGTCGTAATTCAGCTGCTTTCCCTGACCCCACTTGGCTCCAGGTTTGGGAGCTAAAAGCTCAAGGGAGGAAGAGGGAGGTGGCTGGGGCCCTGGAGCAGTGGGGGGCGGGCATGGGTCAGAGCCATCTTCCCTCTGTGGCTTCCAGAAAGACACCCCAACCCATGTGTCCCCAGGACAAGCAGGAGACGGAGCCCTGAGAGGCTGGCCAGCAGCAGCAGCCACGCTTCCCTGCCTCTCGGCATTGCTGTGGTCTGTGAGTCAAGCCTGTGTTCTGTGAGGTGTGGTGAGCACTGCAGTGAGATCATTGGTTTGCAATTGTTTAGGGCCCAACTCTGAAATTTCTCTTTTCTCCCCTTGATGCTCAGTTCTCACTGAGGAGAAGCTGATTTCCTTTCAGGAATGTTTCCCAGGGCCCAGAACGTGGCCAGGCTTCTAGGCGCTGGGCCCTGCCTCGGAGAACGAAAGCAAAGGCTGAGCTGGCTGCGGAGAGGAGGCAGGCGTTGGGGCTGTGTCCCTCTGCCGCCTCCACCCCGAGTGCATCCATGCTGCTTTCTGCTGCGTTTCTTGGTGACGCACAAGGCAGGGATTGGCCTTATTCTCTGTGCAAGAGACGCTCTCCTGGTGTTTTTCACATTCCAAAACCCAAGCAGAAGAGGTTGGACAGGAGTAGTGGCGGCCATCATGCATCTCACCTGAGTTATAGCGGCCTCTGGCCTCCATTCTGCACACCTGTTCCATTTTCCACATTCCCAGTGTGCCCTTGAAAATGTTGACATCCAGATGTCTTTGTCATGCAACCTGCCAACAAGGTCATGCAACCTGCCTGCCACCTCCCCCAGCAGCCCCTGTCCCTCTCTTTCTGCCTTTGGTCCATGCTTCAGCCACATGACCCACCTGGAAATCCTGTGCTCTCTTGTCTCCAGGCCCTCGTAACTGCTCTTCCACCTGCCTGAATCACTCTCTCCCTGCACCCCTTTCTCTACCAACTTTGCTCTACCAAGTTCCCAACTCCTACTCATTCCTCAGGTCTCAACTTAAACAACATCATCTCCTGGAAGCTCTTTCTGAGGCTCCAATGTCTGGCTCAGAAACTTTTTCGGTATCCCTATAGCACCCTATTTATGGCCCTTCCCACACACTATGATCATTTTCCATTCCCCCTACAGCGCTGGGAATTCTTAAAAGGCAGGGATTGCCCTTTTCATCAGCCTTTATCCAGGATCTAGCCCTGTGACTTGCACATCGTAAAAGTTTAATAAATAATTTTAGGAACAAGTGAGTGAAATCTAGTTGCATGGCGAATGTTTTCTAAAGCTGTGAACTCCCCGATCCAATGAAGTACGATTGTCTTCATGTGGCAGGTCAGATAAGGGAGCTGGGCAGCTTTCACAGCGAGTGAAGGCCTAACTGTGACCCCTCACAGCGTTAGAGGTGGAAGGTGAGAAAGCACCCAGGAGAGAGAGAGTCAGGGTGGATACCAGCAGCAAATGGTAGGTTACTTCAAATAAAACTTGATTTAAATGTTAAGACATATTTTATCTTCCATTGCTACAAAAGTGCATTGGGTGTGTTCACCAGAGAGGTTCACCAGATTAGCCTGAATACAGAAGTTATTTTTCAGGGAATAGAGTCAACAAAACCTCTAGGCCCTGAAGCCTCCCTCCCATTCCCCCCGTTGAGCAGATTTACAGGAGGGAAGTCACAAGGAACCCCGGTCCTGGGCCTCTCATGGGCAGGGCACACCGCATACACTCCTGGAAGGCTCAGAGCTCTTCTCGGTGCCCATTGCATGAGCTAGGAGCATCCCCGCACCTTGGCTTGTCATTGTACAGAAGAAGCTAGGTCACTGCCAGCAAGAGCGTGTCTCAGGTCTGTCTTCTCATCCCCTGGGAACCTCTGAGCGCTTTGGGTTGGTTTCCACCCAGTGTGAAAGCTCTGCCTGGGGGTTTGGGTGTGGGCTAATGACCGTTTTCCTAAAAGCATGTCATCTGTGCTTCAGAGTGCTGCTGCTCTCCAGCTGCCCTGCCGAGGCGAAGCAGAGGCCGCTTTGTACAGAAAGTCACATTTCTTTCTGGTCTTAAAGCAATTTAAATCTAGCTCTGAACTCCCATTCCACAAGGCTGTCAGGATTTTTGTTTGAATTGGTCAGGGTGGGAATGAGTGACAGGTTTCAGATAAAACGTAGGAAATCCAGTCCTCACTTTTCATCATTACTGTTCAGATTTCATCTTGGTCATTATGATGTACCAATGAATGATGAAGAAGATGCTCTTCTGACCATCAGTCCCTCCCCTTCTCAAGTTTCTTTAGCACTTATTTCATTCATATTTAATTTATCCACACCTTTGCCAGAGAACTTCCTGCAGTGTGATAATTTGAGGTAACATTGAGGAATGTGCCAGGTACTGTTTAAGGGAATGTGGAGAAAAAATTGATTAAATACAGTTGAAAATTACATATTTTGAATATTCAAGTTGCTGTTGGTTTAAGAATGGATTTATTTTTGAAGTCCAGATGCTTTCTTCCTTTTGAAAAATTACACTTTGAATATATTTTTTATTCATTTTAGAGCGAGAAACATCATCGATCAGCTGCCTCTTATACACCACCACTCCCCCTTCCCCTCCACTGGGGATCAAGCCTGCATATGCCCTGATCAGGAATTGAACCGGTGACCTCTTGGTTCCTGGATTGATGCTCAACCACACTGAATCACACTGGCTGGGCTAAAAAAATTACACTTTGTAGGAAAATTTTTCAGATTGTCAAGTTCAGCCCTTACATGCTTTCCTTTGAGAATCAGAGCTTAAGTCTTGAAGTGGTATAGGTTCCAATAATCAGGATATTTTCTGTAGGTCATGTGAAGTGTGACATGACAAAACCTAAATAGTGTGTTTATGAAGGTCTTTTTAAACGGATTTTACTCTTAACAGACTCTGCTTGGTAATTTAAAGTCATGTTGTGATGCTGCCCATTAGAATCACACTGGTCAAGT